TCAAAAAAAAAAAAAAAAAAAAAAAATTGACCTGTAAGAGTGGATGATGTGGCTCAGGAAGTGCATGGAGTCTGAGGACCATCTCCATTGGAGGAAGGTATGGAGGCTGAGGGAGGGCAGAGATGAGCAATAGCACCAGGTCGTGGTTGAGCCTTCCACAGCCCAAGGTTACCTGGACACTGGGACCAACAACATGCACCAGGAGCTCTTTGGGTACCTGCCCTGATCCACTGCCCAGATTCTACAGGTGTTCACTGTTTCCTGTATTTGCTTGTTTTTTGTTTTAGTTTTTCTTTTTCTTTTATTTTTTTGTGGCAGGATCTCACTCTGTCACCGAGGCTGGAGTGCAGTGACATGGTCTCAGCTTACTGCAGCCTCTGCCTCCGAGGTTCAAGTGATTCTCCTGCCTCAGCCTCCCAAATAACTGGAACTACAGGTGTCTGCCACCATGCCTGACTGTTTTTGTTAACACAGAGTCTCGCTCTGTCGCCCAGGTTGAAGTGCAGTAGTGCAGTCTCAGCTCACTGCAACCCTCGCCTCCTGGGTTCAAGCGATTCTCCTGCCTCAGCCTCCTGAGTAGCTGAGATTACAGGCTTGTGGCATCACGCCCAGCTAATTTTTGTATTTTTGTTTTTAAGATGGGGTTTCACCATGTTGGTCAGGCTGGTCTTGAACTCCCGACCTCAGGTGATCCACCCGCCTTGGCCTCCAAAATGCTTGGATTATAGGCGTGAGCCACCACGCCCGGCCATTTTTATATTTTTAATAGAGACGGGATCTCACCATGTTGGTCAGGCTAGTCTCAAACTGCCAACCTCAGTTGATCCGCCCACCTCCGCCTCTCAAAATGCTGGGATTACAGGCATGAGCCACCGTGTCTGGCCGGCTGATTGGGTTTTTGGAATTCCATTTTGGCATTCCACTGGTATTAGCGCCCCAGGGCTGCCTACATGTCTCCACAGCTGAGTGGCTTCACATGACAGCAATTTGTTCTAGAGGTCAGAAGTGCACCATCAAGGTGTCCACAGGGCCAGGCTCCCTCTGAGGCTCTAGGGGAGAATCCTTCCTTTACACTCCCGGCTTCTGGTGGCTGTGGGCAATCCTGGGCTTGCAGTGACATTGCTTCAATCTCTGCCTCCATCTTCCTCGGGCTTTCTCTTCTGTGTCTGTGTCGTCTGCTGTCTCTTAGAAGGACTCTTGGCTGTGCAAGGTGGCTCATGCCTATAATCCCGGCATTTTGGGAGGCCGAGGCAGGTGGGTCACAAGGTCAGATAGAGATCATCCTGGTCAACATGGTGAAACCCCGTCTCTACTAAAAATTAAAAAAAATTAGCTGGGTGTGCCGGTGCACGCCTGTAGTCCCAGCTACTCAGGAAGCTGAGGCAGGAGAATCGCTGGAACCCAGGAGGCGGAGGTTGCAGTGAGCTGAGATCCTGCCACTGAACTCCAGCCTGGGCAACAGAGCTAGACTCTGTCTCAAAAAGCAAGCAAGCAAGCAAACAAACAAAAAACAACTAATATCCTGTTTCCCAGCCAAGTGTGGTGGCTCACACCTGGAATCCCAGCACTTCGGGAGGCCAAGGCAGAAAGATTGCTTGATGCCAGGTGTTCAAGGCCAACCTGGGGAACATAGGGACACCCCCCCCCCCAATCTCTACAAAATGCAGGAAAAATTAGCTGGGTGTGGTGGTGCACATGTGTAGTCCCAGCTACTGTAGTTCTAGATGCTCTTTGGGGTTCAAACAATTCTCCTGCCTCCGCCTCC